AACACATGCCTAACCCTAACCCTTACCCTTCACCTTACCCTTAACCTAATCCTAAACCTAACCAAGTCTTCACCCTAAAATGAATGATTCTCCTCATGGGGACCTCCAATTTGTCCCCATAAGGGAAGCGAGTCCCCACACGTGACTGTGTAAACAGATTTAGCCAGGTCCCCACAAGTATAGTAATGCTAGGCCACACACACACACACACACACACACACACACACACACACACACACACACACACACACACACACACACACACACACACACACACACACACACACACACACACCACTTCAGGGGACATTACATTGACTTACAGGCATTTCCTGGAGGACTTATCCTAACCTTAACCATAACCAACACATGCCTAACCCACACACACACACACACACACACACACACACACACACACACACACACACACACCATAATATATATTTCTCTTTATTGTTAATATGACTGAGTATCCTGTTCTGTGGGGATAATGGCCAACATGAAGAACAATCCACTTAGTCTGTTTTATGACTACCACTGAGTAACTTTTAGACTTTAAGGTGCATAATTGTTGTGTATTGTGTGTATGTTGTGCTTTCTTATATGCTTGTGGCAAAGGCAGATTTCCATTTGATGTCGATATAACGGTCAGGGTTTGCTGATACCAAGCCTACAGCAGTACATTGCTTAACTTTCGTCAGCTACTGCAGCAACACACTGATTATAGAGCGTAATCTCATGCAACTCCACTTTAAATATCCCCCCTTAAATGTGGCATAAAGACACGGGAAGCCATAGTCTGCACACGTCTCAATGTTTCAGGGGGCATGAGGGTTTGACTGGGCAAGAGAAGGTAGATGATAACAGCAGGGGGGGGGGGAGCGCTCCCACTTACCCCTCAAACCAAGGAGCTGTCCCCGGTGAAGGACCACCGCTACAGGAGGCGGAGGAAGAGGAGGAAGGAGGAGGAGGAGGAGAAAGAGGACAGTAGTAATAGTTATGACCAAAGTTTGTTTGTGAACGAGGGGGAACCCTTGAGGGGAGGCGGGAAAAAGAAGGTGTAAAGAGGGAGACCAAGAAGCAGGGGGAGTATGCTAAAGAAGAGAATAGATCTGTGAGGAATAAGACCCTCTGTTTGGGTTTGAGTCTCTCCATTAGCTGAATTTAAGATAATCAAAAAATGTCTAAATAGCAAAGAAATGTGCAAAGTCATGGCCTATTTGTCTCAAACTAAGGAATCTAGAACAAAAAGTCCGGAAGAAATCATGTTTGGAGTATTGAAGCTGAAATGTAAAGTGACATCATGGTGGCTGCTGGATTCAGATTTCTCCCCCAGTCTTTTTAAAAACAAAAAAAGTATTTGAGATATTCTGCTAAGTAACATCCAGACAGACTAACACATCTAAACATGTTCCTCCTTAGCAGAAGTAACTTACGCCCCAAAGACTTTTAACGAAAGATTACGATTTAAAGAGGATTAGGATTGGATTTACTGCTGATCACTCCCTAAAGAACTTTTTAAAATAGGGATTGAGATGTTGCAGGTTTTGCTGACAGAATAAAGGTGACCATGTGTCCTTTTTAGTCGTTAGACAGGCACTGCTCTCACTGTTTGGACTTTAAATGAAATCAAAGCTGATGACAGATGGTTTGAGTCCCGTGTTGTAAACTGAAAAAATGAAACTCACTCTCCGTCAGTGGGATGGAGATGATCACGCCGTTTCCAGTTCCTACCCAGAGACGATTTCCACCAATCAGAAGTGCCGTGATGCGGACAAAAGAGAAGCCCAGTTTGCCAGTACCTGTGAATCAAAACCAGAGTCAGTGGAGAACATAAATGCGGCCTGTCAGTGAGAAAATAACCCCAGAATAATTCACATTTATCAGAAAAGTCTGCCATCATAATCTCACCCAGCATCTTGCTGACGTACGGCTCGATGTCCACGTCCTGCAGGTGTTGGTGCGTGTGTGCGTGGTAGAGACGCAGCGTGGAGTCGAGGCGGATCGAGACCCAAACACCGTCTCCGATCCAGGCCAGCTGCCGCACCTGACTCTCCCTGCGAGGGTGGGCGTCGAAGGACTTCTACAGAGTGAGAGAGAGGAGTGGATCAATTCAATAAAACAGTATTATTACACTTAACCACTGTGCAGCACTTGTAATATGTAATATGCTCTGATGTTCCATAGGATGATATTTATGTTATTTTACTGAATTTGACCTCCTTCGTGATCATATTAACAAGAATATTGAGTCCTTTCAACCCTTTGAATTTCAGTTTATACCACTAATACTTCTTTATGACCCCCCCAGAACAATTATTAAATGATTTCCTGCACAATATAAACTAGTGTTGAACATCTTTGACACACATGATACAGCAGCAATATCTCTAGTAAAAACCATGAAAATAGGAGAAAATGGCTCAAATATGGTTAAAAACTACAAAAATGGAGCCAGCTTTTGATTGAAAGTCTCATATGTTAAATGCATTCATTCAATGATTTTATGATGTAGCCTGATTGCTGTATGATCAAACATTTTAGTTAAAATTAGGATTGTTTTGTCCTTTACGATCTGAATGACTTATAATAGGAGCTGGCGGGTAAACCTATGATATTCGGAAACCTGCCCCCAAACAATAATCTCACGTGGATTTATTCCTCACCTCGATCTGCATGCTCTTGGGCTGGATGACGTGGATCTTGTTCTTGTATCCGCACCAAACCTTATCGTGGACCACAGCCATGCAGCGGATGGAGTGATGAGGCCGACCCAGGTCCATCAGGTGGTAGTTCGACAGATCCCACTGGCCATCTGGGGACAAAACCAAACCTGCATTAACAACTAATCTATTGTTTATTAACACTTTCTTCTTACATTTGTCCAGGACTTACTGAAACAGTTAGTGTTTTATCATCAGGACTGGGATAAAGCCTTGATAGAAGCTTTTCAGAAACAGTTGAATGTTATACTGAAGTTGACCTTCACCTGTTTTAGTGCGGCAACTAACTTTTATTTTCTGGATTTGTTACGACCTTGTTTGGTCTATAAAATGTACGTATAACATCGCTTGCAATTACTTGATTAAGGTTTCAGCTCTACTCTGTGTTCCTGTTAATCCATGTGACCCATGACTTCCGGATTTTTCATCCTGAATTGTGTTTTTCTTGTTCCACAAAACCACCTAAAACTTCATTGTGTATGTACTCTGCTTTAAAAAATATATTTAAAACCCCAAATACCCTCTGATCTGTGGAATATGGCGAGGGTCCCGTCAGCGAGGGCGACCAGCACACGACCTTTCACATGTCTGCAATTAGAAAAGAGATGAGACTGCTGCAGTGACAGAACATCCCAGAAAGACTTTTAAACTACAGTTTAACCAAGAGCACTTACACCAGGCTGAGCACAGAGTCTTTGAGTTTGATGGAGTGGAGGCACTTCTTCCAGTTTCCGACCGCTGAGTGGACGTAGAGCCTTGAAGGAGAACAGAGGCAAGAGCAAAACCAAACTGCATACAGAGTTCAAGAGACAAGAGTATGTATAAAGCACTCTTTCTGGTTCTTTTGGGGAAAGAAGCAGAAAGAACGTTCCTATCCAGCGTCTGCCTTTTTGGATATGTGTTATATTTTTGTGTGGCTTCAGCAGAAGTTAGGAGTACTTCTGCGGAGCGACTTACCAGCCGTTCTGGGCCCCGAGCCACATGGTGGGGGCCACGCTGGTGTAGTTCCTGGTGTCCTCAACCCCGTCTTCAGACTCTGAAGGCTGGGAAGATTCCTCTTTGGATTGACCTGAGCTCCTGTGGGAAAACACGAAATACAAACTTCACCATCACCATTTCACTTCTGTAAATGTCTTCTTTATGTTTAGAAGAAACAATCACTGTAGCTTAAAGTATACATTGTCATTGAGTTGAACATAACAACAAATTATAAATATAATGTTTTAATGCTGGTGGTAAGTCAAATATATTTGTTTTGCTCTTTGGGTAGTGTAGTCCAATGTTGGAAAGGTTATAGGGTTTTATGTTTCACGCTATAAACATTTGTTTATGACATTCCTGATGGTTGTCTTTATGTGATGGTAAATGAAATGCATTTGTAAATAACTTTTTTCTAGTTTTTGCAACCACTCAAAGGCACTTTAACAATATGTCAATTCACCCATTCACACACATATTATATATAGAGACAGACGCTACCTTTCTTAACAGGAGTGACTAACATTCACACAAACCATTAGCCATGCAATCTGTAGCAATGTGGGGTTCAGCATCTTAACCAAACTTCAACATGTTGACTCAGAGGTCAGGGATCGGACCCCGGACCCTCCTGAGTCCCAGGCTCTGGCTCCCACCTGTCCGAGGCGTCTGAGAGGCGGGGCGGGGGGTCGGTGAAGACGTGCTCAGTGAAGGGTCCCGGGGGTCCCGACCTAAGCTCTCCGTGGCTCGCCGTGGACTCGGGGACCTCGGTGGCCTCCGTCGCCTCCTCAGCCGACTGGGCGGGGTGGATCTTACCATTCATTTGGGGGGCGGTGGGGGCTGGGGAAGTACAAGGTTGTTGAAATTAGAGCAGCGCAGTTTAGAACAAATTACTAATTGTTAATATTTGTACTAATATTGCTATTGTGATATGACTTGCGTTATATATTTGTATTTTATTGTTTTGCACAATTAAAAAATACACAAAACATAACAGATAACGAATGATAATCAGTGCAGGAAGAGGCAGAAAACCCACTGGGCTTATTGTTAAAAATTTGAATTTTATAGAAAACACAAGACCAATATACAATTCAATAATGATGGCAAACAAATACTAAAATAACAGACATTTTTAAAAAAATGAAAAGAAAAATATACGGAAAAAACAGTTACGAAACAGTAGATAAATGATCTCTCAGGCATTCTTTAAATCTTTTGATAAGAGGATTAATATTTTGTTTTCCCGGGAAATGCCATTTGAGAGTTTGGTATTTGAGGAAATCAAATTTTTGGGAACATCATTCACATAATTATAAAAATAGATATAAAAATAAGGATCTGTACCAAACAAGGACTTCTTAATAACCCCAGATTGATATAATCTCAAATATACAGCTATTAACAAATATTGCGTTTACTGCGATTTGGATATTGCACATTGCAATAATGTAAAAAACTGTGCAGCCCTAGTATAAATAATACACAAACCGGTGGTCTTAACACCTCTCTGAGATGATGATGATAACGTGCAGGAGCTTTGAGCCCACCTTGTCCTTTGTCCATGATGGGCGTGTCAGTGCGTGAGGAGCAGTTGCTACGGGCAACGCTGCAGTTGGTGGCGCAGCCGACCAGCGTGATGCCGGCCAGCATGCCCTCCACGCTGCCCGAGTCATCGCCCGCTCCCCCGACCCCCCCGTCACCGGGGTCCAACACGATCTCTCCGGGGGGGTAGTCGTTCTCACTGGCAGCTGGACACAACAAACACACACATTAACACACACTTTCTCTCTGTAAACACAACAACAAAGTATTTGCAGTACATATTCAGGGGTATTCTTCGGCAGAAAAAAAGAAGGCGCAGGTAAAAACACTTTTCTGAATCAATGATACAAATCCGATGACACTCACACTCAACTGTTGATTCACAATCTGATGACTAGCAGTAAATAAGAGATGTCTGTTTGCACTTTGTGTTTTTCAGACTCTAAAAAAAGACAACATTTCAGTAACAACTCAATTAAAAATACAAAAGGCCTCACTGTTTAACATTCCAGATGTATAAAATTGCAACTATAACGGTTTTTAATTTTTTTTACTAATATCACCCAGATGAAAGCGTACCTACCTTTTGGTGAATGTAACATCTACTGATGCAGATAGTTAAGTGCAGTGAAATGAGCACCTTAGTGTCTACGGTGCATGCTTTCTTTGCATTATTCAAAAAGAAAACGTGTTATGTAAGCAAGATAGCCCACATTTCAGCAAATGTCCCTGTAGAGCTCTCCGCCTCACCTGGCACGCTGGAGATGCAGAGCACGTGGGCGTTGCAGACGTTGAACTGATCGACCAGCGAGCCGGGCTGGTTGGCGTCGATGATCACCACCTTGCTGGCAGAGTGGGTGCTGGTGAGGATCCACACTCTGCTGCTCATGGTGTCCGTCTCCTGCAGCTCCTTCGACTGGGCAGGGGAGGGGGAAGAGAACAGGGTTTACCACAATCACAAAAACTGTTTGTCCTAGATATATCTGAATAGTTTCAACTCCATGCAGGCTGTTAATATGATTCTTCCACATTTATGACGGAAGATACAATACCAGCTTTGACTTTACTCAAGTAATATGACAGGTGTTACTCTACCATCCTCTTCTCTGGGGAGGTGTGGCTGCTCTTCCTGCCTCCTCCGTTCTCCTCAGCATGCAGAGGGTCGCTGCCCCCCGACGGAGCTTTGGCTAACTCCGACTCCTGGCAGCTGGCCCTCCATCCCGTCAGGTCCACACCTGCTGCACACCACAACTACAAACACACACACACACATATTTGAAAAACGTGTAAATAGTCAGAGAATAAAGTTCCACCTGACCCTTGGATGACTTGCGCGGTGCCGTTTTTATTATTTGTATTCAGGAGCAAAGACTGCGTGGTTCTAATGAAGCCTCATTGTGACTTAGTGTCACCAATACACTGAACAAAAATATAAATTCAACACTTTTGTTTTTGCTCCCATTTTTCATGAGATGAACTCAAAGATCTAAAACATTTTCTACATACACAAAATAACCATTTCTCTCAAATATTGTTCACAAATCTGAAAAAATCTGTGATAGTGAGCACTTCTCCTTTGCCGAGATAATCCATCCCACCTCACAGGTGTGGCATATCAAGATACTGATTAGACAGCATGATTATTGCACAGGTGTGCCTTAGGCTGGCCACAATAAAAGGCCACTCTGAAACGTGCATTTTTGCTTTATTGGGGGGGTCTGGGGGGGTCCGAAAACCAGTCAGTATCTGGTGTGAGGGTTAGGATTAGGGTTAGGGTTAGGGTTAGGGTAATGTTGTGAATCGAGTGGCCCATGGTGGTGGTGGGGTTATGGTATGGGCAGGCGTATGTTATGGACGACGAACACATGCCACTCGATTCACAACATTGCCCGAGGAGGAATCATGAATAATAGTAGCTTGTTGATTGGGCCCTGAATGTGTGCTGACTGTAGTTAACTGGACTAACTTCATTTGGATTCATAGCTGGTGACAGAATTCCTGCTTTTTAGACAATTTCTCCCCTAATTCAAGTGGTTTTAGTTCCAGTTTAATGGCAGTTTACTTCTTTCCCAATAGGATTTTCACTTGGTTTTCAGTAGCAGATGAACCGCAGGAGATGGTGAGGAAAACCCCCCCGCTGAAACAGACTGCATTGTTTTAGCATAACTCATTTTGAAGCCCTCCAGTGCCGCACACAGCAGCACTTTGTGTTCCTCTTCATGTGTAATGTGCTGTATGTATTATAGATGGCACTGTGAATTCACTAAGACCGCCTGTTTATCTGACACCAGTTGGCTTGGGGCTGCTGGATGTTGTTTGGGACTTTTGCTGATGCTGAAGCCAGTAGAGTGAACGATTATCTGTTGTTCTACTTTGACTGGTGCAAACATACATGAACCCAGAAATACAGACACCCAAACAGGCAGAAAGAGTATGACTGATATTACACGTATCATGGTAACTATTTGAGATGTATCTGTTTGTATTGTGTTGCCACATGAATATGGATATTTAAATTATATGAGATCAACATAATGCAATGCACTGCACCAGGGGCGTTGCTTGGATCTAGACTAGAGCTTAGGCCAGCTCGACAATTGTACATTTGAAAATATATATGTATCAATAGAGTATCCAAAGAAGACACAATATGAAATATGGATATTACTATAGGTGCAAATGGATTTAGTATCCTAGCCATGTGAACTTGTTTTAAGTAGGGGGTGGACCTCACCTCCCTTAGGGGGGTCCGGGGGCATGCTCCCCTGGGAAGAACATTTGTAAAATTGTAAAGTTAGATGCATCAATCTAGTGAACTTTGAGAGCAAAATTAAGAGACTAAATCTATGGATACATCTCTCACCCATACAGTATGAAACATAACTGTCTACATTTCAACAATCAAAAACGAATATGGCCACAACCAGTTTATCTTATCTTACCTCGTTAGCATTCTTTATTTGTATTAATGCATATTTTACTAATCACTCAGCCTTGGTTAGCCTAGAATTAATTCTAACTGTCGCTACAAACTAGTAAGGCCCAGGAGGAGAGCCACTCAATGCTGGCCTGGCAGCTTGGTCCAACAGTGAAGATTTAAATGTTGGCAAATTTGTAAAAAAAAAATGGCAAACTGAAATTAGCCTGTCTTGTGGTTTTTGCCCTGAAGCTATCCCTTTTATTAAGTGAAGAAGAATCTGATTTCAAACTTTTTTTAATATACCTTCAGTTGAAATAAGATGAAAACTTAGGGATTAGTTTGATATAGTATCTGCCTGTAAAAACCTGAACAAATCTGGATTTTACATTTTGATCACATTTTCTCTGGCCTCACATATGATCAACATCCCATGTTAAAACTTAGTCATGATAATAAAACCACTTTATAATACTTTTAATTGACCTAACTTAACGTCAACAGCTATCTATTCATCTCTATACACAAAGGTTTGAAAACAATGGAGGGCTAATGATAAAGATCATAAGAAATGATTAAGATGAGATGTGAGTAAGGGCAGCTGAGGAGAGAGACAGGAGGGAGAGAGAAAGGAGAGCGAAGGACTTTACAACCTGTCAGAGTGTGTGTGAGCTGTACACCCTGCCAGTGTGTTTGGATACTCAGCTCAGAACAGTGACAGAAATTATTCCCTGCCAGAAAGTGAACCATACTGAGCCTGGCTACCAGCCCTGACAAATAATTCCCCTCATTTATTAGACTCCAATATTGTTGTGGCTGACAAATGCTACATTAGCACAGCTGCACAGTTAATCATGTAATAGTAGTGATAATTCATTTGTGCTTTAACAATGAATCACTTAAACAGTCATTCTGGTGCTTCATTAACAGTAAGACCATTTGACCAGCACGCAGCACAACTAATAGTATACATTGGCAAGACACATATACAGATAACAACAAGTCCAAGTCAAAGTATGCAAAACAGTCTGTTTCAAAGCACTGCTCAGATTACCTCAAACATTGTGAATGGTAGAATGCTTTTTGAACACTGTCATACTGTAGGACTTTGCCTTGTCAACATGAGTTACAAAATGTGAGCAGACCAAGGCGCCCCTTTAAGAGGGTGTTGCCTGTTTGTCATTGTTTGTCTACAAAGGCCGTAGTTTCATTGGTCTAGCAAAGACTATGGAGAGTAACAGTTGTTTTTCTTCTGTTCATCCATCTTTCCCTGCTGAACCCAGAGGGCATCTATTTATTTTGTTCTTCTTCCATCTTCTATTTATTTACCTACCTGCAACACTTGTTTAAAACCGTTAATAATGTTGTGTGAAAACTTTAAAATATTGGCGATGCTAACTGCACTAGCAATTAAAAAGGAATTTCAATGTTAACTTAGCATTGATGCTAATACGAAGTCAGCTGTGTGCAAAGCAAAAACATCCCTAACCCTGCTGCTGTCTCCAAATCTGCCAAGCTAGAAATATTTCATACCACAGACTATGATATATATCAAAAAACTATACATGAAATTTAAATGAATGAATATAAGAAAACTAATTATACATTTGATGATAAGGCGCATCTGATGAGTAGATTAAACAAACGTAAACATTGTTCTCAAGTCAGTTTTGGTGCAGAGCCTCACTAAGAGCCCCCTCTCCTCCTGTCCCATGGACCTACCCTGCCACAGAGACCAGGGAAGGAGCTGAATTAAGTGTCAGCTAAATCATTTCAAGTTATGAAAGGACAAAGCCCCCCCGTGAACGCATTTATACTGTTATATTTCATCGATCTGGGATCCTCAGGGCTTTCACACATTCATTTTTTGATTGAGTGTGGAGGTTTACCTTTTACTTCAATTACCTCCCTGGCCCACTTTCTCCTGTCTGACTCTCGGCTTTTTCCCATCTTTATCGGTCTCCAAAGAGAAGAGCATTCAGGTGGAGGTTGGCTGGAGAGAGTCCTATCTTTCTCAGGTTCTACATCATACTTGTTTCCTGAACATGACAGAGAAATCCAAATTATGGTCGAGCCCAGTGCCCTTTATTACTCTCTGCTCAAGGTTAAGATATATGGCCTTAATATTGCTATAATTTATATTTTTTAATTATTTTTTGTTTGTATTATATTTAATGAATTTGATTTAGAATAGTAATTGATCTTGTCTATTGTGCTCCTGTAACGTGTGATCAACAGTCTTACATCACAACATATTTTAACCTGTTAAGCCCTGAGCCTGTTTTTCAGGTTTCAGGCAGATTTAGCAAAAAAAAACACTTCTGGGGTCATTTGGGTGTGTTTGACCTATCTCTGGCCCCCCTTGGTCGATTTTGATGATTGACATCTCTTTTTAATCATCAGAGTCAATGGAATCAAGGGAAGGTTCCACATACAGGTTACCAAATAAGGAGTGAGAGTGACGCGTAGAAAAACCGGAAGCTGCGCTAACCTCTGGTGGCTACCTTTAGCAGCTAATTTGTATTCTCCGATTTTTGCATAAAAATGGAATTATGGATTATCAATATTTTTTTCAAAGTCACAGACACATTGGATTAACCTATGGATTAACCTTCAGCCGCGTTTCTCGTTTTAATGCCATTGAACACGACTTTTGATCAGAATAACAGCTCAGGTGAGCATATCTCCGTGTTTTGTTACCTAAAGCTACGTTGTGTGTCGTCTGTATTTGCTTCCCCTGTCACGAGTTCTGATCGTTCAGTGATGATCCTTATATTTCTATAATATGTGGAATCTCAGAATGTTAGCTAAGCTTGCTTGTGCAGATCCAATAAGTATATCGATCGGAGTTCTGTAATAACGGCATTAAGATTTTTTCGCTCAGGGCAGATATAGAGGCTCAGCGTTAGTCTTGTGTTTTTTTTTGCCAATAATGGTTCACATCATCAGTTAGCTGAGTTTCTTCCAGTTACATGGGACGGTGACTTTTATAATAGGGGATCAGAGGCGGTGACGCACTCTGATGGTTATCTTTATATCAACGAAAAATTTTAGCGAGACACGTTTCTTCTTTTCCTTTTAGCACAACCACTTGTGCTTAGGTTATCTCATTTTTTAGCACAGACCATTGTGCTTTACGGTTACTCTTCGGCACACCTGTCGCATCGTCCCTGTACTTACTGCTACTTGTCTGTACCTCGTGTTTTGATCTTAGTCGTGTCCTCCCTTTGCACTTGCTTCCTTCCGTTCTGTGTCTGCATCTTAGTCTGTCTGTGTTCCTCCTTTCTTGTAAAGGTTTGTTTTTCAGCCTTTTACTTTTGATTAAGAGTTTTTGGGTACTTCATGGAATGAAGTCCAGATTGTAGTATGTCGCTAAGTGATGTGGTAACCGGTAGCCCTCGTGAGTCCCAAGTCATAAACGGGTTCCTAATGCTGTACAAACCTGGACGTACCGACACTAGTTTGGGTGGAAGACAAACTTTCTGCTGGTGCACTGTTACCTATTTCGTTACTCTAACATCGATTCTCATTGTCACACAGCGGAAAAACTCCGTTTTTAAACGCTTTCTGTGGTTTTAGCAAAATTGAACTGTTTATACCCGCAACACGTGTACTTTCCTATGTATGTCTTGTCCTCGTTGGTTTTGTGACAGGGTCTACCTTGAGTGTACCTACATCATTCGCGGTTTATCAATAGACTTACACCAAACGTCTCTATCGGTTTTGTTTTACATGAGTTAAGTTCACAAATAAGTTTAAGGAAAATCAACAATAGAGAACGTTGAAGTAAGATTGGGTTTACAGTGTATATATTTTCTGGTCTTATTAGCTTTTCTTTCACGTCTGCTTACATACCTACTTGAGAACGTCGTCTGTCAAACCACTAGCCGCTGACGTACACACACAGCGGTAGGTAACTAACACACATAACGAGGTAGTTTGTCATATCTATTATACCAGTTCGTGGACTGCCTTTTTGTAACCGTTAGACAGATGATGTAGGTCTCACGAACTAATGATCGTTATGTGTGTTCCAAATAGTCTCTGTCCGTCACCTCTCTCTCCGACATCCACTATGGAACACAGCGTCCTATAGTGTGAGGCTCACCGACGTCCGAAGTCAATATGGTCCTTTCACACCACACACACACACACACACACACACACACACAGACACACACAACACAACACACACACACACACACACACACACACACACACAACACACACACACACACACACACACACACACACACCACACAGCACACACACACACACACACACACACGACACACACACACCACACACACACACACCTATGGCGAGGTGACGAGGAGATAGTCTCAGTCAATACACCGACAAAGAGTACCTATCACTTAATCGAGGTCTGTCCTCGGACGTCAGGGTGTGACACTACATCTTGGGAGTGAAGGCGAAGTCGGTTACCTTCCTTCGGTCTGTTGAAGGGTTAAGTAAATAAAATTTTTAGTGTAAAGTAAAACCGTAAAACCCCTTTTTTTGCCTCTTTTCGTTATAAGTCAGTTACGAAATAAACATAAGTGTCATAAACACCGAGGACTAGAAGTCACGCCTGTGCTGTAACACATTATTGTGTCCCCGGAAAATTGGCGATTTGAGCTATCAAAAAGATTGAGGTTGAGTATGATGGACAATCTATTTTGACGATGGACCACGACGTCTATCGACATTGTCAGAAAGTTTTCACCTAAGTTGCGTGGTTGTACCGGTACATGTAAGAGAAACCCCGGTAAATAATTTTTACCGTTGGTAAAAAGTTCTACCTGGTAGTAACGGTCGTTAAAGTGGTATATCCTCAAATATAGCGAAACTAGTTAAACCACTAAAACAATAACTCAAATATGAAAAAACCTTATACTCCTTAAAACTATGAAGAAGTCTCGAAAAACCACAGTAATGTTGTTGTTGTACCAATTTTACACTCCGAATAAGGGTTTCCTACACAATTGGACAACTTGGGGTAGCTGGGCGGGGGCCGGCCTTTTTGCGTAGTAGACGTCCTTTGTCGCA